CCGCCCCTTGGAAATTGTTGCTAAGGTCCCACAAGACGACATGTGTTAAAACATACGCAAACACGTGCGTTTGTGGGACAACACGTGTGTTTGTGAGACGCGCGCGTATTCCTAGCACTGTTCTGATTAGTCAGTTTTAAGTTTGATTGACACTCCGGAAAGATCTATTATTTTAAAGTAACAAAAGCCGTTTGCTTATGTACTTGAATAAGTTACCAAATTTACTGAAATAGACAGGCCTACTGTGTTATGACATTTCAAGTTAGTGTAAACATTTAAATGTTTTGAAAATTATTCAGTTATATTTTGAGTACCGTAGCCCTTCAATTTGATTCAGTTTTTTTATGAAAATTTCAATAAAATGTATCGTATATTGTATCGTACTTCAGACAACAGAATACAATACAATACTTTTATTCACATCTAAAATATAATAAGTTGAATTTCAAATACACAGAAAATGTCTTAAAAAGTGATTATCAAAACGTTGTAAAATATGACAATAAAAAGATATACAAACAATAGGGTAAAAAAAAAAACACGAAACAAGAAACACAAATGAGAATCCGAAGTTATAATTATAATTGATATTATTATTATTATTATTATTATTATTATTATTATTATTATTATTATTATTAGTATAGTTCATATTATTATAATTATTATTATAGTTATTAATATTATTATTGTGAATAATATAAAATAGGGAAATCTGTTTCGACCATTGTTGGAGCAGGACACCCAACAACATTCATTCAACATAGGCCAATACTATATTAAACATATAAAACATATATTAATTGATTGTCCATTCATATCATTAAAAATAAATATGATTATCATCGTAAACATCAATCAGTTAATCAATTCATAAGGGGCATCATGATCCTCATCAACATCATTACCGTTGTCGTCAATACCATCGTGTCTTTCAACTCCCCTTCTCTATGCTCGCTATGCTATGATGGATTTGATATAGTTTAAAACAAATCCTGAATAAATTGCATATTTATCCTTATCAATCAGTCTATTATGATTATTATTCTTATCAATCTCTCTTTGCAGCGTATGACATTTATTACATTATTATGATGTATAGCTATAATGGACTTCTATGCGTATAGTTATGATTCTTCGTAAGCAATCGCTCTGCGAAGAGGAATTGATCATCAAAGAATTATGAATAATCAAGATGAACGATTATAGCTACATGTTTATGTGTATTGACTTATATTGACTAAGTGTGTTGACTTCTACCTACAAGACGTTGACCTTATCCTAGCATCTAACCAGGCTAACAAACAAAATAATCGCCGCTACGAAGCAAGATGATCTGCCGTGAACCCAACTAGTGGTTAGGGGACATCATTAATGAAATGTAGGCCTAAATCCCCATACTCTTGATAGTTAAGTCATTCAAACTTGTTAAATAATCTGCGTTTGTTTCATTTTTTAATAAAATATTGGGTTCGATTCCCGATGTACAGTAGACTAGAACTAAGCAATTATTATTATTATTATTTATATAAACCATGAAGACGGCTTTGTTTGTAGCTCCTCGCTCGGTTATACGCTTGCTAGGCAGGATCGCGGTGTATCGCGTAAAATATTGTTTGCTTGATATTTTGCACGAGTGTTACTTCAATGCGAGTTGCGAGTAGGAAGATGAGAGTTGCGAATTGGAAAATACGAGTTGCGAGTTGGAAAATGCGAGTTGGAAAGTGAAGGCCTACTAAAATCCACAGGGGCGGATTTAGGGGGGGGGGCGGCCCGGCCCCGGCCCGGTCCCCCCTTTTGGGAGGTAAAAAAAAAGAAAAAAAAAAGAAAAAAAGAGAGAAAAAGAAAAAAATAGCCCAGAATGCCTCAAATGTTATGTTCGGGCGTCTAGAACACAAAAATGTCGCGGGGGCATGTACCGGACCCTACACATCTAGATGTGTATAAGAGACATAGCATAATGTATTAATGTTGATAACAAAATTATTTTATCTGGTACCAATCTAAGCTCTTCTTTTCTTAGATGTTAGATGTGCTTGCAAAGAGAGCCACATTTCACACTGAAGGGTGTGTACGACATTAATAATGTTATGTCAATTCCAAGAATGTTTAAGGTTATATCTGTTGATGAGGAATTTATTGATTAGGCCTATAATAGCAAATTGCATCAATTTATTTTGCAAAAACAAGGTTTCCAGCTTCAGAATGGGGCACATCCCCTGTCCGCACATCCCCTGTCCGCACAAGGGCACACATTGGCGCTAACACCAGGCGCGTAACAGGCGTCTTGGGTCAGAGTGGGTATTTATTTTCCCGGTTAGTAATTTACCATACCTACCCCACCCACTCCCCATATAGAAAACAATACGACATAGGGCTTATCTTATTTATAATATAGGCCACACACGTGTGTTTGAAACTAAATATAAGCATTTTCATCATGGTTTTATTTTATATTACAAACATATTCTTTCACCATCAATACGCATTGAGGCCCTTCTTTTAGGTTAAAAAGATCTATCTTAAATTTGTCTTCCTTGAGTTTGGGACTAGTATGTGTTTCAATAACTTAAAAGGATAAACCTAAAAAAAAAACCCTAAAAAATGCACGCGAATTAGCGCGCAAAATATTTTTGTGTTTTTAATTCTAATTTCGTCGGAATTGATGAAAACTCCTTAAAATGTGCAATTTATAGAAGAAATTGGCCTACCGTAACAAGAAATGCGCGCAAAGAATTTGAGAATTTTAGGCACTTTCAGAGGATGCATTTGTCAAGGGGTGGGGAAAGATTTTCCAAAGATGGATATTTTCCCCTTGTCCCCCGGTGTTTTTAATTCTAATTTCGTTGGAATTGATCCAAATTTCCTAAAATGTGCAATTTTTAGAGGAAATTGGGCCATGTTAACAAGAAATGCGAAATTTGAGGTTTTTAGGCACTTTCAGGGGATAAAAAGGGCATTTATAAATGGGTGGGGAAGATTTTTGAAAGATAGATATTTTCCCCTTGCCCCCAGTGGTTACGCCATCGGGCAGCATAGATCAAAGGAGTTATGACAGTTTTTTGAAATAGAGAAGGGGTTGCAGGGTGTTGTGAGTCTGGTCATTATGGTATCTTCCTTTTTATTCTTGTCTTTATTTTTCTCTTCTCTTTTTCTTTCCTTTTCTTTTCCTCTTCTTTCTCTTTCCCTCCCTCTCCCTTCTTTCTTTTCTCTTATTACCCAGCCCGGTATGACGGCTTGGTCAGCCCGGTAAAAACCCTCCTAACTAAACTTAACAAGCCCTGTCTCTTATACACATCTAGATGTGTATAAGGCAATATGAGTGTGTAATGCGTAACTTGTAATTTGCTGACAATTCACCTAAATGTATACATATTATTCCTGCATAATATATAAAATCCCTTCCACATAAACATAAAACACAACTAGTTTCCTATAGGCCTAATAGGCCTATTCGGAAATCTAGTTTCTTAACTGGTAAATACTTTAGGCCTACTGCACATGCGTGTTGTCATGGTGACAGACGCAGTACAAACTATGTGCCATGTTCTCGAAATTTTCAGCATTCCAGAGTAAGCTTTACCTCAATACTTTAATTTTCGGAGATGTGATTGTAAAAATGATTTAATATCTTTATAATCCGTCATAATCTGCTGGTATTTATTGATATAAAGGTACTCATTAAATGCTCTTAGGCCTTCATCAATGATGGGTTTCGTGAATCCGGCCACCCACTTCGTCCGCCGAGCATCAATGTACCAATGCGACTTGTTGGATTGGCTTATCATTTCATAATCTAGCAAATACAATCAGAAAAATTCACGGGATGCTTGTCACGAATGGACATAACGTCAACCTGTAGCAAATAGGCTTAGGCGTTAAAACTAATCAAAATTGTTAGTAGATGCCGCCTTTAAAAGTTTAATAAAGTATGCCGTTAGTTCAGGTGTGGTTGTGTGTTTAGTTTCGGTAGTTCATTGTTTTAGATGGTTTTATTTATTATCCATAGGTCATATTAAACAGTTACCCCGAACGTAGAGTATGATTTAAGAAGCTTGTGGTTTACTAAAATAAAGTGGGTCGGTATGCAGCGTATTTTCTTTCTTAAATTATTGTTTTTTTCCAGGTAGTTAATAGTTATGTCTTGTTTGTCACTCGGTGGGTCTTACACACTGTTTCCACCCCACCCCAAACCTTTGAAATCGCTAAATAACGGACGAACAAGAAGGCCCTACCTATCTTAACCAATATCCAAAACAAACATAGGTCTAGTCTATTGTAATTTGTGTGCAAATTAGCTTTCTCAGTATATATTATGATTTACAGAATATTGATCAAATGGAAACTGATGTAACCAGTATATTATACAGTTTCATACACACATGCAGAAAAAAAAAGTACAGAGAGTCCTCCATCTCACCACCAATACTTGTAGACAGGTCATAGGCGTATGACCCAGCATTGTGCTTATTCGAAACTCTGTAGTCAAGTTTTACAATATGAGAAAGAAAAGAAGTACCGTAAGCTTAAATAGTGTGATTGACAAAAACAGGAGGACAAACTTGTTAAAAATGGACAAATAAAAGGGGAAATGAAGGGGTGTTGTTAATAATTTGGACTATCGTCTCGCTTTGTTTAAAAAAACGAAACGAAACCCTCTTTCAAAACCAATCTTAAAAATAAACTTTCGTAGGCTTAAAAAAACAAACGTGGTGGGTGATGGAAAAGGAACAGAAAGTACCGTAACGGAGATGTATTTTTATATTAACACGCGAGTGTTCGTATATAATATTGAGAGAGGTGGGCTGCTGAATCTTTAATAATAAAAGAGCTCCGGTTTCATTGCAAGAAATCTCCAAAAACATTTGACTTGAATTTCCGGGCCTCCACTGTTTATTATAAGTAATATACCGGTACTGTTTATTATAGTAATATATAAGACAAAATGCAGACCCATTTTGTTTTAATAGCAACATTCTGTATTTTAGACCTTACCTGTGAACCACTTTGCGTTCGTGCATGTGATGTAGAGCTGATACCAACTGACGGACGTACGGCCTTGCAGATCCCTCCGTCAGCCTACCCCCACGCTGACGTCGCACCAATGTAAGCAGGTCGCCGCCAGGTGCATATTCAGTGACCAGGCAGTAGAGATTGGTGGACTAAATAAAAAGAAATTAAAATACAAAAAAAAAAATCAACATAATCAATGTCATCAACAATATTATCAACATCAATAATATGAGCATCATTAATATCAACGTAAATATCAACATCAGCAACACCGTTAAAGTCAACATTAACATCATCGACAACAGCAATATTATTGATATTATTCAACATAAATGTTCTTCAAAAAGTTACTCGTAACTAAACTTAACAAGCCCTTTTAAAAGCTATAACCACATCAACATCAATATTAACATTCAGTGGCGGATTCAATTGGGGGTGCGGGGGTAAGCCGGCATGGGGCCCCTAAAAATTGTAAAAATTGTAAAAGAAATTGGAGAAAAAAAGAAAATTACATTCAAATTTTAAGTCTGAGAGTGCAATTTCCAGCCATTTAGAGGTGACATAATTGTATATTTATAGATCCACCATCCCTAGAATTAGTTCCTCCCTGGGCCCCCTCTACTTCAACTTCCTGGATCCGCCACTGACATAAACATCAACATCATTGACTTAAACATCTCTGACGCAAACATCATCAAAATCAGCATCAACAACATTCATCAATATCATTAACGTAAATATCATCCACAAGTGACACCGCCTCAATAACCATCAATATCAACGTCAAAATCATTATCAGGCTCAATATATATATATATATATACATCTACTACAACATTATCAATACCAACATTATCTACGATCTATTTTTCACGAGGATTTCTCGAAATTGCATTTGCAAGACGTAATTGCCAACTCGCAACAAGCATTTCTGAACTCAAATTACCCAATTTGCAACTTATTTGCAACTCGCATTTCAATTTTCAACTTGCATTTCCCAAATCGCTACTCGCATTTCCCAACTTGCAACTCGCATTTCCCAACTTACAATTTCCAATGAACTCTTTTATTCCCAATTTGCTACTCGCATTTCAATAATCAACTCGCATTTACCAACTCGCCACTCGCATTTCCTCGCAACTCGCATTTCCTTACAATTTGGAACTCGCATTTCCTAACTCGCAACTTGCATTTTCCCAATTTGCAACTTCAAATTTCCCAACTCCTAACTCGCCACTCGTACTTCCCAACACGTAACTAGCATGTCTCAACTCGTATCTCGCATCTTCCACCTTGTCGCATTTCGCAGCATACAGTATTACAATCATATGTTGATATTGTTTGTAAAGAAAAAATAATTAAGGAATGTAGCCAGCTTTTAAGGATTTTAGCCTACGCCTAGAACCTAAAACATACGCAAAAAAAAAATGCCGTCTTTTAAAAAGAACCTAATACAGGCTGTATTAGAATTGTTACGAGGACACGTTATCAGATCAGTATTAAAAGAATTTTGTTAAACAAACTATAATAATAACAAGAATATTTATGAGAAACGTGCAACCTCGACTGAGGCATATCTACGGTACAACAGATCAAATGAACCACATTCATCTACTGTTGGCGTTTCTTTAAAGGTTATATTTACTATCTACACGTACTGTACTTTCACACGAAATGTGAACAATGCGAGTGGGATACAACAATAGTGTTAAACCTTTCTCTTATACACATCTCATCATCGACAATAGCAATATTATTGATATTATTCAACATAAATGTTCTTCAAAAAGTTACTCCTAACTAAACTTAACAAGCCCTTTTAAAAGCTATAACCACATCAACATCAATATTAACATTCAGTGGCGGATTCAATTGGGGGTGCGGGGGTAAGCCGGCATGGGCCCCTAAAAATTGTAAAAATTGTAAAAGAAATTGGAGAAAAAAAGAAAATTACATTCAAATTTTAAGTCTGAGAGTGCCATTTCCAGCCATTTAGAGGTGACATAATCGTATATTTATAGATCCACCATCCCTAGAATTAGTTCCTCCCTGGGCCCCCTCTACTTCAACTTCCTGGATCCGCCACTGACATAAACATCAACATCATTGACTTAAACATCTCTGACGTAAATCAGCATCAACAACATTCATCAATATCATTAACGTAAATATCATCCACATGTGACACCGCCTCAATAACCATCAATATCAACGTCAAAATCATTATCAGGCTCAATTTATATATACATCTACTACAACATTATCAATACCAACATTATCTACGATCTATTTTTCACGAGGATTTCTCGAAATTGCATTTGCAAGACGTAATTGCCAACTCGCAACAAGCATTTCCGAACTCAAATACCCAATTTGCAACTTATTTGCAACTCGCATTTCAATTTTCAACTTGCATTTCCCAAATCGCTACTCGCATTTCCCAACTTGCAACTCGCATTTCCCAACTTACAATTTCCAATGAACTCTTTTATTCCCAATTTGCTACTCGCATTTCAATAATCAACTCGCATTTACCAACTCGCCACTCGCATTTCCTCGCAACTCGCATTTCCTTACAATTTGGAACTCGCATTTCCTAACTCGCAACTTGCATTTTCCCAATTTGCAACTTCAAATTTCCCAACTCCTAACTCGCCACTCGTACTTCCCAACACGTAACTAGCATGTCTCAACTCGTATCTCGCATCTTCCACCTTGTCGCATTTCGCAGCATACAGTATTACAATGCTAGTATATTACCATTATATTATTTTTATTATTATTATTATTATTATTATTATTATTATTATTATTATTATTATTATTATTATTATTATTAGGATCATTATTCACCTCCTCACCATCATAATCCCTAAAATTAATATCAATGTTCTTAACATTGCAAAGTAACATTTTTCATATGTTGATATTGTTTGTAAAGAAAAAATAATTAAGGAATGTAGCCAGCTTTTAAGGATTTTAGCCTACGCCTAGAACCTAAAACATACGCAAAAAAAAAATGCCGTCTTTTAAAAAGAACCTAATACAGGCTGTATTAGAATTGTTACGAGGACACGTTATCAGATCAGTATTAAAAGAATTTTGTTAAACAAACTATAATAATAACAAGAATATTTATGAGAAACGTGCAACCTCGACTGAGGCATATCTACGGTACAACAGATCAAATGAACCACATTCATCTACTGTTGGCGTTTCTTTAAAGGTTATATTTACTATCTACACGTACTGTACTTTCACACGAAATGTGAACAATGCGAGTGGGATACAACAATAGTGTTAAACATTTAAACCAGAGCCTGTATCAAATGCATCAGTAGGGTTTCATGTTCTGTTGGTAACTTTATGGGGAGTTGGTATTATTGTAATTATTGAATTGCTTTGCTCTGATGGTATGCACTAATTCTTTGTATTTAAGTAAAAACGGTTACTAAAATACTAATAATTGTTTAATAGATATCGTTACACATGTGTGTAAAAATTACACATGTTACTAATATTGTATGTGTTAATGTGCTACGTGATCTACTGTAACCTAAGTTCTGTATTGCTGCAAATGCCATCAGGGGTCATTATCCGCTTCATGACCATATTACAATTAGAATAATGAGAGGCCTACATCTGAATAGATACATATTAATATAATATGTTAACTCATCATTAAATAATGTAAATTAAATAAATTTGAATATGCAACTGAAGTGCTCAAATTATATTGAATATACCAAGTACTGTACCGTATGTCGAAACACAGTGCACCCGGAGGCCCCCAGCGCACTCCGCGGCCCCCAGCGCACTCCGCGGCCCCCAGCGCACCCCGCGGCCCCCAGGTCCCCTAGTTTCTGGACCGGTAACTTTTTGAGTCTAAGACCGCCACATGAAAAAATATCCTGACATTTTCCTCTGTTTAGCATTATTCCCCACTTCCCACTCCCCCCCCCCCCCCTTCAACTTCTCTGTCAGTATACGTTTATATTTACATCACATCATGTGCTTTTATTAAATATCCTATAGGTAACTTCTAGATGGTTGATGACGATGGTGATACCGATAATTATTCAACTTGACGTTGAGACCTGACAAGTCGGCCTCTGTTGAAAAATGAGTAGAGTCCTAATTACAAGTTGTTGTTGGATGTGTCGGATTGATAGCCTTAAAGTGGGCCACGTTTCCCTCTATTTGGCCGAAGGAATGTGCAGTGTAATGCAGAACCCTTTAGCACAATCTGAGTGTGGGGGGGAAGTCGGTCTGTGTGATGACAGATTCTTAGCACGCGTATGCTAGTGTACTACCGTTTAATGTGACCATAAGACATCGGTACGACAATCTACAATTTTAGGGCACGGTGGACATTAAAAAATTACAGTAAAACGTCGCAGAGCACTGACGGTATGAACAAAAATTCTAATATAAGATTAATTTCAATGATGACAAGTCAATCATTTTGAATCATGTTTTCAATAATAAGCCGTGTTGTCATCCCGGGCTAGCCCTGGGGATCAAAGTGCTTGCCCAATAACCTCAGCGTATGAAACCGTACCTTGCTGGAGGGATAGTTCGAATAATTCAGCAGTCATTCATTAGATAGTTGGACAGTATAAGTGTGTCGTTTTGACGCCCGTTAGTAATTTAATGAGTCGCGGTTGAAATTAATAAGTTAGATATTCCAAAACACCATGGAAACATTCATCACATATTTAGTCTAAACAAACGGATGCGTGTTCACTTGCCGCCAGTGATCCTAATGTGCTAATGGGTTGACGATAGTATAGTCGAGTGTCAATAGTGTATAGATACTTGAGGCGGTTGTTTGTGATATTATTTTCGTAGCTCGAGTTGGAGTGTCGTCGAGATTGAATCAGACTCCTGATGACGGCGGATTGGCATTTTTAGTTCATTTAGAGGTTAACAAACAAATCCACCGCTCCGCCGTTTCCGCTTTTGAACAATGTTTCAACACACAAACATAAAACCTGGTAATTAACCTACGACTTCGCACTATAGAACAATCTTGCTCGTTTAACAGGTTATATTCTCTGCTTAGAATGAGGCGGCTTAAGGAATGCCTCGGTGTTTTGTAGTTCTGTCATCCAGCCCCACCTGCTTGCTTTAATCCCTCAGTGAGGAA